CATTTGGAAAAACCAGTAAGTTTAAAATCATTAGTCAAACCTTTCCACACTACACTATCTTAACTGCCCACATGACCCCTCAAACCAGATAAATGTTTGTCTGTAATGTTCTTAATATACAATGTTGTTATGTACACTGGTGCTACTGGAAATCTGTGATGTGCTGTAATGGGACAGTTTCTGATCTGCTCAGCCTGACCTGTATCCACAGGGTCATATTCTCTCTGTTTAATCTCTTAGTAAAGAAGTAGTAAGTTTTCTTTTTGTACAGCGTCCTGACTGTGACCACGCTGTGCAGAGAACTCGTCTCTATAAATGATCTTATCAGTCAAACCTGCAGCTGCTCCTCTTTGTGTCGTTTTTCTAAACCTTACAAAGACCAACTGTTTGTGTGAACGCGTTAAGATCCCATAACAGTGGAGACAATTGGAGCACAAATTACTTTTCAAAAATTATTTTTCATTATTTAAATACTTGGTTATATTTTTTATTTGTCTTCTTCTTGATTACTTAAAATATCAGTTTAATGTTTCTCTTTCAAAAGAAAAAGATATCATAATTATGTAATAGACAATAATTGTAATATAAAGTAATCTGCTAATAAAGTAAAAAATCTTAGCTCTCAGTTTGATTGACAGGACAAATGATCAGTGGTGCAGAGTTTGTACCATCATCATTAAGCTCAGGACTGAAGTACGGGAAGAGTTTCTCAGTGAAGGAGCAGCCAGTGAACGAGTAGATCAGAGCTGCAGCATCTACGTCATAGAAGGAGACCAGACCCTCCTCATAGTCCACAAACACCCCCACCTTCTCAGGAGCACACCGGAGACAGAGGTTAATTTTGTTGTCTTCACAAGCTTTGTACTCGTATCCATTTCTAAGCCACACAGTCCAGAAACCATTTTTGGGGCTCAATGACATGCTCTCTGTCCTGTTGATCGACTCTGTGGCCACTCCTAAATCCCAGTCAGTCTTTCCTTTAACCTGAACCTCAAAGTAAAATCTGCCTGAAGAGAAACTCTGCTCTCCTAAAACATTAACAAAGTAAGTAAATCTCTTTGGGTTGTCCGGAAGTTTCCGCTTTCTCCTCACCTCACCGCAGTGTACTTGTTTTCTATCGTCAGACAGGATGAGATAAGGATTTGCTGTATCAGGATCCAGAGTCACGTCCACTGCATGCTGCTGGACCCTCTTCAGTTCAGTCTTAAACAGCTTCTTCATGTCTTCCCTGAGTGTCTTCTCCAGCTGAGCCACAGCTCTCCCCACAGTCGCCTCATATGATGGTGGACGGACTCTGACCTCTGTCCAGTCCTTG